AACATTTCATTTATGGATACTTGCTATATTAAAAATTAAATTCCAAATGAAAATATTAACATATTTCTGTGAAAACATATTTCCAAAGAAAAGAATTAGTAAGAAAGGTGACCTTGTTTTACATTTTAACACTTTTTTAAGCATCTGAGGTAGTCAAGACAACTGGATTCTTCTACTTTAAATCTTTTTATTAATTACATTTGTTCTTCAACAAGTTCACATGTGTACATAATGCATACTGACCAATCTCAGCTCCTACAACCTCCCATCTCCCTCCTATTCCTGTCTCCCTGCCCTCTCTTCCTTACAAATCTCTCACATTCATGTCTGTTCATTTTGTTTTGATCCCCTGATTTTAACAGGATCATCTATGTGACCATGGGTTTGGATCTTGTATCGACTTTATGCTTGACAATCACATCAGGCAACCTCTGGAAAGTCGGAGGAAGCACAAGAACAAGTATCACAAGCAACATGTCCATGATAGCTTAAAAACAGTTTGCACTACCCAGATCTCCACAAGGTCTCTGGAACCCGAGCATTCCTAAGGATATATATATGAGCGGCCTATGCATTGGTCAATGTATACGAAGTCCTAATCAGTTTCCCAGCATCTTTAACACTCTTTTAGTTATCTTGAGCTTGAAGACAACTAAAACTACAACTTTCAAAAAGCCTTCCTTTTCATGATTATACAAGTCTTACACATAGATTAGTATCCCTAGGTATCCATGGGGGACAGTTTCAAGTACCCCGACAGATGCCAAAATCCACTGATACTCAAGTGCTGCATGCCTTCCCATACTTTTAAATCGTTTCTCTGTTGCTTGTAAAACCTACTGTAAGACAACTGTTACATAAAGTGGCCACCGACTGGCCATTTAACAATAGTCTGTCCATGTCAGTACAGACGCACTTGTCTTTTTCCACTGTTTATGTTCCTGCAATGTGTAGTTCACAGATGCAGCAGACACCATTTCCCCCTACGTTCTATCTGGTTGGCTTCATGTCACTCCTTAATAGTGATGTGGATGCCCTGCTAGGTCCTCTTTAGGGCTGGTTCACCACCTTTACTCAGATGCTGGGACTGTTCACTGACAACTCATAATGGACCCCTTCTCTGGAGAATTACTCAGTAATCAGCAGCTACCAGGCTGAGGACTTGGCTAAGGAATGACTTGCCAATGATTAGGAGAGTACAAAAGGCCAGCTCAGCGACAATGGTGGACTAATCGCTGATAGGATTTGAAATGAAGAGCTGAGATCAGATCAAGTTTGTCTCTAGTTTCTCTTCCACAGCTTTATTCTTTGCTCTGCCCTGTTTCCTCCACTCCCTTCTCAGAGCACCTACCACAAATCACTACAAGAGAATCCCTAAATTCTGCTTCTGGCAAATCCAATCTAAGACACCTTGCATGGCATCCAGATTGTTGCAATACTGACTCCGGCCAGCAGATGAGCTGACCCTGTGCAGTATCTCACCTATGCTGAGCACTCTAGACGAGGGGTGTGCTAGTTCTCGCTGTGATGGGCTGACCCCTGGGTACTAAGCACTCTATGGGGGGTGTGGTAGTTCTTGCTGTGATGGGCTGACCCCTGTGTACTAAGCACTCTATGGGGGGGGGTAGTTCTCACTGTGATGAGCTGACCCATGTGTACTAAGCACTCTATGGGGGGAGGGGGCGTGTAGTGGTTCTCGCTGTGATGAGCTGACCCCTGTGTACTAAGCACTCTATG